GTTTCTTCTTCCTTCTCCATTAATCTCTGAATATTAGGTGGAAAGCGAACAATTACCACACTAATGGCTCCATAAATTCCTTCATTACTTATTAAACTCGAGCGCTCCCCACGCACCGGAGGGAAAGAGATGAAACGGAGAAGAAATGGGAGCGGAGGGGGGTCAGGAGCCGGGTCAGAGGGGCTCGGGCTGGGCTGCGGCAGCGGGGCCGGAGCAGACCCGGTAATTCACGGGCTGCCGTTGCCCTCTGCCGGCAACGGGACGGAGAGGGGCTGCTCTTCCTTGTCCTGCTCTTCCCTGCCCGCTGGCAGAGCCCCGGGGTCCCCAGGGACGTGAGGCTGGGGAGCCCCGGGGTGTCTGGGGCCGCTGGTGGGGAGGATGCTCCGCCAGGATGTGACCGCCCTGTCCGAGGGCCCAAAGCTGTCCCCAAAGCTGTCCCCAATGCCCTCGGGGACGACGCTAAGCAGCGCTGCACATGGATAACATAAGGCTGGTTTTAGGAGAGGTTAGTTCCAGCAGAGGCACAGGGAAGGGGGAGGGATATTGAAGTCCCCATCCCGTGCAGCCGGACACCGCTCTCCCGGCTGCGCGGAGAAATCCGCTCTCTCCTGGTTTTCCTCGAGGTGCTGGGAGCTGTTTGCTGCCAAACCTCCCCGGCATCCCGCAGGGGGCATGTCCTCCAGCTTATTTGCTGCTGGCCCGGGCGAGGTCTGACCTGCAGGGATCATCGGGGATCGCAGCCGCCGCGCCGGGGGAAGCTTCGCCTCCTTTCCGGGTCGGAGGACGCGGCAGCTCCGCTCCCGGGAGGGCCCTTGTGGCCTCGCCTAAGTGGAGCTAATGGATTTCCATGTCTCCAACAGCCAGCTGGGGTCTGAGCACATCTCCTGGAAGAAAGGCAGCTCTTCTGAATGCAAAACTGCAAACAAGCAGATGCCTCCCCAGCCGAGGTGCTCACGAGTCTGCCTGGATCAGCAGGATTGGAGCAGGAGCTCTGGATCCTGCCAGGAGCCCTTTGCTCCTCCATCAGACTGACCTGCTCCTCCACCATCCACTCCAGCCAGGTTTGGAAAGTAAAATGCACAGTTAAACTCCAAGAAAATGTGTTTTTTTGCAGGCAAACAGCAAATTTCTGTGGTTCTGCAACAGCTCAGTATCCTCCGGGATGAGCCCGGCTCCACAGAGGGACGTGGCTGCCCAACTCCCATGGACACCAGATGTAATTAGATGTTTAGATCTAGGCCAGGGGCTCCAGGGCCATCTGGCACCTGAATTATTCATACACTTATATCTAAGCACAGGCAGAGCAGAGCACAGCTCCTTATCCAGCCTGGGCCCAGGGGGACATTCCTGCCTGAGCCGGATGGTTTTTCATGGCCTGACAGAGCCTGATCCTTTCCAGAGGTCCTTCCCAACGCTGTGATGCCTTTTCCCAGTGCCAAACCTCCTCCAAAACACACCAGAGATGCATAGAGATCCAAATCAGCAGCAGCTGATGCAGAGGTGGAAAAATCCCAGCGGAGAAGAGCCTCCCCTTGGAAGGAGAGGACCAGGAGGCCTGAAATCAGATTAAATGTCTGTCAGGAGGGTGATGTGGCCCAGTGCTCCTCCAAGGTGTCTTTCACTCCATGACTCATCAGTTGAGGAATTTTAATCCCTGTCTTTCTCTCCCAAGCCCAGGCACCTGAAGAGAGGACCTTGGTGATGGATTTCTTCTCCAGCCAGTGGAGCTGTGCCAGGTTTTACCAGATGTAACCTCAAGGATGAAGCTGAAATATGGCAAAATAGGGTTTTCCCCAGTTTTCCCTCACCTGTTTGAGGATTAATTCCTCAGCTCCTCTGGGCAACCTGGGATAGTGGAAGGTGTACCTGCCCATGGCAGGGGGTGGAATGAGATGAGATTTAAGGTCCCTCCAACCCAAATCATTCCATGATCCTATAGACACACTGGGACACGCAGGAGAGGAGCTGGCAGAGAGGGGAGAGGTCTCTGCATGGGATGTGGGGGCATCTGATCCAGACTGAAGTGATGCCTTTTAATTGTAAACTGGGATATTTGCTCTCTCTGTGTGCTAGGTTTCATTCCTCAATCATCTCCAACCTGCCCTCCAGAAACCTTTCCAGCAGCTCTTGAAGTGAGGTATTGCTGGAAAATGGTACCATCTTGACAGAGTAACAACTTTTCCAGGGGGATATCATAATGCCTGAGCTTTATCCTTCAGCTGTGTCTCCCTGGGAAGTGGCTCGAGCAAGTCCTGGGGAGGCCACAAAGGTGATAATGGGACCTGAGCCCCTCTGCTCTGGAGCCAGGCTGGGAGAGCTGGGAATGTTCACCTGGAGAAGGCTCCACGGAGAACCTGGAGCCCCTTCCAATGCCTAAAGGGCTCCAGAGAGCTGGAGGAGAACTTTGGCCGAGGGCCTGAAGGGAAAGGACAAGGGGGAATGGCTTCCCACTGCCAGAGAGCAGGGTTAGATGGGATATTGAGAAGGAATTCCTCCCTGTTAGGGCAACGAGGGGCTGGGATGGAATTCCCAGGGAAGCTGTGGCTGCCCCATCCCTGGAAGTGTCCAAGGCCAGGCTGGACAGGGCTTGGAGCAATTTGGGACAGTGGGAGGTGTCCCTGCCCGTGGCAGCCATTGGTGTTGGATGAGCTTTAATTCCAACCCAAACCAGCTTGGAATTCTGTGGTTCTACACAGTCACTACTGGGGTTCCTCAGGGCTTGGTTTTAGGGTTGGTCCTGTTTAACATCCTTATTGATGATCTGGATGAGGGGACTGAGGGCACCCTCAGGCAGTTCAAATTGGGTGGGATGTGGATCTGCTGGAGAGCAGGAAGCTCTGCAGAGGGATCTGGACAGGCTGGATCCATGGCCAAGGCCAACAGCGTGAGGGACAACAAGGCCCTGGTGTCACCACAACCCCATGGAATGCTCCAGGCGGGGGGGGAGAGAGGGGCTGGAACGCTGGGAAAGGACCTGAGGGTGCTGGTGACAGCGGCTGACTGTGAGCACAGGTGTGCTCAGGTGGGCAAGGGGCCAATGGCACCTGGATTGTCCCAGCCATGGTGTGTCCAGCAGGAGCAGGGCAGTGTCTGTTCCCTGGGCTGGGCACTGGTGGGGTCACACCTCAAATCCTGGGGTCAGTTTTGGGCCCCTGCTGACAAGAAAGACATGGAGGGGCTGGAATGTGTCCTGGGAAGGGAACAGAGCTGGGGAAGGGTCGTGAGCACCAGGAATGGCTGAGGGAGCTGGGGAAGGGTCTGGAGCAGCAGGAGCAGCTGAGGGAGCTGGGGGGGGGCTCAGTCTGGAGAAAAGGAGGCTCAGGGAGGACCTTCTGGCTCTCTGCAACTCCCTGACAGGAGGGGGGGGGGGGGGGGGGGGGGAAATTAGGGTTTGGGGGATGAAATTGGGGTTTGGTTGGGTAAAATTAGGGGGGGGGGGATGGGATTGGAGTTTGGGTATTGAAAATAGGGGTTTTTTTGAGGGGGAATTAGGGTTTAGGGGAATGATTTGGTGATTGTAGGATGCAGGGGCAGCACTTCCAGCAGGGATGGGGAAATCCAGCCCTGCCAGAGCTCTGTCATCCTTTGAACCTTTCTTTTCCCTTCTACAACTCCCACAGGCAGAGCAGAGAGGGGGAAAGAGGAGGAAGAGCCCAGGGCACCATATGGCAGTGGGAACCTCACAAAATATAGGGATTAGAGTGGGATCGGGATCCTCACAAAACACAGGGATTAGAATAGGATCGGGATCCTCACAAAACACAGGGATTAGAGCCATTCCTGCCCCACGGGAATGTGTTTTCCCTGACCCAGAGGCTGAAGTGTCTCCGAACCTTCCCCTCAGGCCCAACCCAAAGCTCTTCCCCTCCCCAGGCCACTGAGCCAAGGTGGATGAGGCTCCCCGAGGAAAGATGAAATAAATCGGCATAACACTGTCTTTCTGAAGCTTTAAGTAGGCAGTATTAGCAGTGGTTCGGAGTCTTCGAGGCAGAACAGGGCCCTGCAGCTCCTCAGAATCTCACAGCGGGCAGAGCAGCGCAGGGCAGGGAAGGCCCAGAGCCCTGCGGGGCTCCCACAGCCGCGCGGGGAGCGCTTCCCTGTATTCTCTGGGGCGGATGCGTACAAGGAAACAGTGAGAGGGCGGAAGAAGCACCGAATGTAGCCGAGCTCCCCCCCTGCCCACCCCAGCGGGTTTGTTGGGGGGGGGTCTGAGGGGACTCACGGGGACAACAACACCCCACCCCGCCTCGCGCCGCCTCCCGGCGCGCTCTGAGCCCTCAGCGGCGGCCGCGCCGCGAGCCCCGCCGGGGAACCACCCCCCTCCCCGCCGCCACCAATGAGAGCCGGCGCAAACGTGACTGATCTCCGCTGCACCCAATCAGATGGCTGAGGAGATTTTTCTCGTCCAATGGGGACCTGAGGCTGGAGTCGCGCGGAAGCGCGCGCTTCTCCCTGAGCGGCGTAAGGCTCAGCCAATCAGAGAGGCACAGCGACGGCGAGTGGTGACCAATGAGAGGAGGGGGCGGGGAAAGAGAGCCTCGCGAGAATTCCGGAGGGACGCTGGGAACCCGCGTCTGAGCGAGAGGGCCAATGGAGGAGGGCGGGGCGGGGCGATAATAGCTGGCAGGTAAGGCAGCCAATCAGAAGGCGGACATAAGTTCCTCCCAGTGGCCAACGAGCAGCGAAAATCCTCCCGTGGTTGAACCTCCACGATTGACAAGCCGGGCCGCCCAATCAGAACGCCGCGCCCTTTCTAACTGATCAATGAGCGGGCTGCGGCTCTCCCCGCCCCTCCCTGAGGGCAGGCGGGCGGACTGACAGCATGACAAGCCAATGGGAACGCGGAGCGCCGGGCGGTGGGCGGTAACTCCCCGCGCAGGCGGCCAATGGGCGCGGGCACCGCCCCGGGCAGCCAATGGGAGCCGGGGGTGGGGGGGCGGTGGCGCGCGCTGCCGGCGCGGCTCCCAAGATGGCGGCGGGTGCGTGAGCGGGGCGGGCGGGAGGGCCCGGCGGGAGCGCGGCCGCCGCCGCCATGAAGGGCAAGGAGCGCTCGCCCGCCAAGGCCAAGCGCTCCCGGGGCGGCGAGGACTCGGCATCCTCCTCCTCCTCCTCCCGCGGCTCCAAAAAGCCCAGCGGCTCCTCCGGCAGCGGCGGCGGCGGCTCCAACGGCGGGAAAGCGGCGGCGTCCGGCGAGAGCAACAGCGGGAGCGGCCGGCGCGGCGCCCACACGGACAAGGGCCGCGCCGGCAGCCGCGAGTACGAGAGCGGCGCGGCCGCGAGCGGAGGGGGCCGGCACGGCTACAGCGGGAAAGCCGCGGAGGCGTCGCGGAGCAGCAGCAGCCGCGGCAGCGGAGAATCGCGGGCGGCCGCCGCCTCCTCCTCCTCGGAGCCGGGCGAGTACAAGACGCTGAAGATCAGCGAGCTGGGCTCGGCGCTGAGCGACGAGGCGGTGGAGGACGGGCTGTTCCACGAGTTCAAGCGCTTCGGCGACGTGAGCGTGAAGATCAGCCGCCTCCCGCCCGGCTCCGGCTCCGGCACCGACGAGCGCGTGGCCTTCGTGAACTTCCGCCGGCCCGAGGACGCGCGGGCGGCCAAACACGCGCGCGGCCGCCTGGTGCTCTACGACCGCCCGCTGAAGATCGAGGCCGTCTATGTCGGCGGCGGCAGCGGCCGCCGGCGCAGCAGCCGCTCCCCGGCGCTGCTGGACAAGGAGTCTCCGTACGGGGCGGCGGCGGCGGTCGGGGCTGTGGCGGCGGCCGTGCGGCACCCGCCGGCCGGGGCCGCGCAGCGGGCGCTGTCCCCCGCGGGCAGCGGCGGAGCGCTGGGATACCGGGACTACCGGCTGCAGCAGCTCGCCCTGGGCCGGCTGCCGCCGCCGCCGCCGCCGCTGCCGCGGGAGCTGGAGAGGGAGCGGGACTACGGCGGGTTCTACGAGGCGCGGGTGCGGCCCGCCTACGGGCTGGAGAGGGTGGCCGGCGTGGCGGCGGCCGGGGGCTTCCGCGGAGGAGGAGGAGCGGGAGGAGGAGGTGGTGCCGGAGCGGCCGGCGAGGAGGAGATCAGCCCCGAGGATGACCAGAGAGCCAACCGCACCTTGTTCCTGGGCAACCTGGACATCACCGTGAGCGAGTCGGACCTGAGGCGGGCGTTCGACCGTTTTGGGGTCATCACCGAGGTGGACATCAAGAGGCCGGGCCGTGGGCAGACCAGCACCTACGGGTTCTTGAAGTTTGAGAACCTGGACATGGCGCACCGGGCCAAGCTGGCCATGTCGGGGAAGGTGCTGCTGCGCAACCCCATCAAGATCGGGTACGGCAAAGCCACCCCCACCACCCGGCTCTGGGTGGGCGGCCTGGGGCCCTGGGTGCCCTTGGCTGCCCTGGCCCGGGAGTTCGACCGCTTCGGTACCATCCGCACCATCGACTACCGCAAAGGGGATTCCTGGGCCTACATCCAGTACGAGAGCCTGGACGCGGCGCAGGCAGCCTGCACACACATGAGGGGCTTCCCCCTGGGGGGCCCGGACCGCCGGCTCCGCGTGGACTTCGCCGACACCGAGCACCGATACCAGCAGCCCTACCTGCAGCCCCTGCCCCTGCCGCCCCCGGCTCACTACGAGCTCGTGGCAGAGGCGGCTGCTTTTGGGGCTCACCGGGGAGCTCCCCCCGACCCTCTGCGGGGGGCCCGGGACAGGACGCCACCGTTGCTTTATAGAGACCGTGACAGAGACCTTTACCCCGAGACGGAGTGGGTGCCCCCGCCGCCCCCTGTGCGGGACAGGAGTAACCGGGCGGCTGCCTACGACCCACTGGAAAGCCTGGAGCGCCGCCGGGACGGGTGGTCCTTGGAGCGGGACCGCGGGGAGAGGGAGCTGGGCAGTAGCAGTCGGGATCAGCCCAGGAAGCGGAGGCTGGCGGAGGACGGAGGCCGGCACTTGGACCGCTCCCCCGACAGCGAGCGCTCCTCGTCCTCCCGAAAGCGCCACTGCCTGGCCACCAGCTCCCCGCCGGACCGCAGCCCCGAGCTCCTGGGGGGCCGGGAGCGGTACAGCAGCGACCCCGAGCGCTCGTCCCGCCTGCTCCTCTTGGAGCGACCGTCCCCCGTGCGGGAATCCCGCCGGGGCAGCCTGGAGCGGGGGCAGAACGAGAAGCGCGACCGCAAGAACTCGGCGGAGCGTGAGCGGAAGCACCGCGGAGGTGCCGCCGCCCAGGAGGGCAAGAGCCCGGCCAAAAAGGATGAGCGGGCGGCCGAGGGAGGCGGGGGAGGCTCCCGCCTCAAACCCCCTCCCCAAAAACAGCAGCAGGACGGGGCGGCGCAGGCCGGGGCGGCGCCCAAGCTGTGCTTGGCCTGGCAGGGGATGCTCCTGCTGAAGAACAGCAACTTCCCGTCCAACATGCACCTGCTCCAGGGGGACCTCGGTGTCGCCAGCAGCCTCCTCGTGGAGGGGGCCACGGGGGGGAAGGTGGCCCAGCTCAAGATCACCCAGCGGCTCCGGCTGGACCAGCCCAAGTTGGACGAGGTGAACCGGCGCATCAAGGTGGCGGGGCCCAATGGCTACGCCATCCTCTTGGCCGTGCCCGGCGCGGCGGAAAACCGCGCGGCCGCCGGAGCCGCCGAGCCCGCCACCACCTCCACGCAGAGGCCGCTCAGGAATCTGGTGTCCTACCTAAAGCAAAAGCAGGCTGCAGGGGTGATCAGCCTCCCCGTGGGGGGGAACAAAGACAAGGAGAACAGCGGGGTGCTGCACGCCTTCCCACCCTGCGACTTCTCCCAGCAGTTCCTGGACTCTACGGCCAAGGCGTTGGCCAAATCCGAGGATGACTATCTGGTCATGATCATTGTCCGGGGGGCCTCCTAAGGGCCCTCGTGTTCTGTTCCCAACCCTGCCTACTCCTCCACCCAGCCCCTCCAGCGTGTGCCAGGTGCTATGGGATACAGCCTTAGCCAGCCCTGTTGTTATTTTAATTAGACCTTTGTTTGTAGGTGACTTTCCCGGCCTGATTTTCTGTTACTACGTTTTTCTATAAAGGTAGAAGCCAGAGAGGTTGGTTTAGGCGTAGTGTGAATAGGATATTTTGAGAATTCCCTATCAGTGGGGACAGCAGGGAGGCTAGGCCTGCTTTGATTTACAAAAAAATAAAAAAAAAAAAATAAGAAAAACGAGAACTGGGGAGGGGGAGGGAGGGGGAAAAGAAAAAACTCCCGTCTTCTTGATTTTGATTCGTGTCCTTTTTTCATTTCATGTTTTTTAAAGCAAGTCCAAGAGCTCGTCCTCTGACAGAGCTCCAAACCCAACAGACCAGGTTTAAAGCACTCGTTGGAAATGGAAAACCACACGTTTAGTGACAGACTGGTGTCAGCTCCTTTTTTGAGCCTTTGAAATTCCGTGTGGGCCTTGGGGATCCCTTCCCTTGGGACCTGGAATGGTTTCCCCTTTGGGTCGAGTGGATCAAGGTTGATGTTTTACAGGTGAGCAGCACCTGCTCTCGGTGACACAGCAGAACACAGTTCCTTTTGGGAAAGGAATTCCTTTCTCATCCAGCCCTCCCCCCACCCCCAAGTGCATGCACTGAAACTTGGCTTTTTACCAGGTGTATCCCCCCATTTCCCGGTGTATCCCATGTGTTTTTGGGTTTGTAGCAGTGAGGAGGTTTGGTGACGAGCTGGGAACTTTGTTACAAACCAGGAATGTTGTGCTCACTCCTGTGTGCAGGAAACAAGGAGGTGCTTTAAGGAGAACTTGAGTTCTGTTGTGGGTTTTTGGTTTTACTGCCTTTTTTGTGTTTTCCAAGAATTGCAGGTACAGTGGGGTCTGGTTCCACAGTGCAAACTCTGAGTAAGTAAGTGCTTCTCTCCAGAGATGCTTTTAATTCTGGGATAATTTAATTACATAAAAGTTCTCATTAACATTTTACCTCTTTGTTAATAGCAAGGAACTGCTGTCTGCTAGGGACTCTTCAGGTACAGTGCAGTGGGCATTACATGAGGTTTATAATTTTCTAGGCACCTGGAGGAAAATGGTTTTAGCATCTTGGAGAAGTATTAAAAATACTCCGAGATGCCAAGCTTTGAGCTCTTGTTCCTGTGATTCAAGGATGAAACAGTTCTGCTTTTTTTATTTTTTCTTTTCAGAGAACATAGTTAATTTTCTCTTATTTTTCCCCAATAATTGGGCACTTTTCTTCAGCTGTCTCAGCCACTTTTGGCAATCCAGGCATTTAGGAGGGAAGAAGGGATTTAAATCCCTGAGGGGATATAAATCCCCAGTGCTCTGTTTAACAACCAAAAGGATGTTGCAGCAACTTCTAAACTGAAGTGTAAATCTGACTGTATCCCTTTACAAGCCCCAAAATTGTGATCTTGCACTTAAACCCAGAATGTAATCTTGCACTTAGCCATGTTTTCAGGGATTTGGGCCATGGAAAAGCGACGCTGCTCAAATAGATTCCTTGGGTGATGGATACAGGGATGGGTTGATTTGTGGTACAACTTGATCACATTCAAAATGGGGAATAGGTTGTGAATAGGAGATGAAGGAGGAAATGTCTTGAATGTATTGTATGGGTGTAACTGAACTTGCTTGAGTTTCTGCCACAAAAATAGAAATTTTTGTTACTGAGCCACTTTGATTCCTTTATCTGCCTGGAACGAGTGGACACAGTATCCCAAGAACTAAGAATTCCAATGTGGCAGGAGATTCTGGTTTTACAGCTACTTTTCTTTCTAAATGAGAAGATAAAAGCCTCATTTAATGCTCTTAAATTTGAGGGTAAAACTCAGGAGTTCTGGGTTGTCCTTCAGGGTGAATGTAAGAGATGGCAGAATTCAGCTGTTCAGCTTCCTATTAACAACGAGTATTTTGGGGAATGACACCTTAAATGCAAATCACTGTGTTTTGGAAGATCCAGAGTGTTTACACTTAATGCAAAGAATGTTTTGGTTGGAGCAGGTGTCTGTTGTGTGTCAGCAGGGGATCAACTCTGTTCAAGTGCTACTTGTGTTCAGAGGGGGTTTTCTCATTGCATGTGACATGAATCACTTGCAGAGCTTTCTAGGAAAGAAACTTGAACCTCTGGGAATTCAAATCTGCCCCAAACCAGGAAAAAAAAGCACCAATGTTTGTGTTGGACACTGGAAGTCGCTGAGAACAGCGTTTGTTCCGCTGAGGCATAGCAGGCACCTGCTTAAAAGGCCATAAAACTTGGGGTCAACGTGGCTGGTCAAGGCAAACTCAGTGTGGGAAGAGCATCCTGGGTGCTTTTCCACTTTCTCTTGGAAAATCCCGGTGGTTTTAACTACCACTGTTGTTATGAGCCAAATTGTGCTACGCTGGAGGGTGAAAAGGAGCAGGTGAGGATGTGTTTGACTCCAGGTTTTCTGGCTCCTTATTTCGTGGAGTATCTCCTTTAAATCTGGTTTATTTGTGGTGGCTGCTCTGTTTTGTAAGCAAGGATTTTAACACCCCTTGAGGGTTCTTATGGCAAAACATTGACTGGCAGCACTTTGCCAGCAGTGGATTCCAGTGCTGCCATCCCGCACGGGCTGTGCTTTCCTCCTTGGTCTGAGGGATTCCCCATTGGAGTAACTGTCCACTGAAGTTGTCTTGGCCAGGGCTGAGCATTCAGAAGCCCGTGGGTGATACCACTGTGTGCAGAGCACAGCAGATGTAGCAGTTGTTGGCTCTCTCCTTGTGTCTGGCATTCCGTTGCTCGGTTTTCCTCCACATTGTGTGCAGCTGATGTTCCTATATTTCATTAGTGTGTTGAATTAGCCTGGAAAAAGGATGTCCTTTTCCTGAATCATTTCACCCTTGTGCTTTATGCTTTAGGGAAAGAACCTCAAATGACTCATAGTTTTGTTGGAGATTTTAGTTCGTTGGGTTTTTTTTTCTTCTTTTAATTAGAAACATTACGCAACTTCCTTGGCCTCCATCCAGTTGCTTTGTTTGCTCCTGTTGAGCTGCTGTGGTGGGAACACCAAGGTTACTCTCAATCCAGAGGTTTTAGGGTCAGAAATACCAACACATCCTTGTCAGCATTGCAGAGAGAAGGTCCAGGCAGACAAATCTTGCCTTCTCTCTTTTGTTTTCCCACGAGGATGTTAAAGATGGAATATTTCAGTGACAACTTTCTCGGCCCCTGTGGAGAGCGGAGAATGAACTGAAATTTCTTCCACGGGTTTGGGAACCCTCTGGTTGATGGCAACTGAGGTGAAAGGCCTCAAGTGTTAATGGGAGAGGAGGAGTGAATCAAAATTGTGAAGACAGGTTCAAAAACTCTGAGGACTCAGGGAAAAATGGCTTGGAAAATGGTAATTCCTGGCTCTAAGTGAAACAGTGTTGAGGGACTCCTGGGGAGTCTGTGTGCCCGGAGGGGAAGAAATGATGCCATGTGGCTCTAGAGCTTTTGGGGTTCTTTCCCCTTTGTCCCCCGCTTTGTAGCATTGAAGGACAGATATTCCAATGATTCACAGACTGAACGATGAGGTGATTTTTGTATCAGGCTTAAAACAGCCCGGCTGGTTCAGAGAATGGGTCGTTGAACATTCAACTTCTCGCAGTTCCGATTGTGTGCGAACGACGGCTGAGAAATATGACTTGAATAGTAACAATTTTCAGTTCCATGGGGTGTGTCTTTGATTTGACCTTTCCTTTACTATTGGCGCAGCCAAACGAGGGCAGAAGAGCTGTGTAACAACACTACATTTCATGGTTTCGGTGATAAGTTGCCTTCAGGAAATAACCCTGGGAGGAAAGTCAACCCAATTAGCCATAATTGGGTTGGTTTTTCTCGTGGTTAATGGTTTCAGTGTGTCCCATCAACTGTTACTGCAAGTTGGGTAATCCTCAGTACTGTAAGCCTTAGTTTAACCTTGGTCCAAAACGAAGCCCTGCACTACTTGTTTTGCATCTCTCCCTGGAAGGCGACTTCATTCCGAGGTTTTGTGCCCGTGGGTGGAATTGGTGCTTTTTGAAATCCAAGTAGAATATTCAGAAAGGCCTCGTAGCTGTTTATGTTCATCTGTATAATGTAGGGAGGGGGAAAAAAAACCCGAATCTGGTGTAAACATTTGTATTGAAATAACGTTTTCTTTCCTCCTGCAAGCAAATCTGGTGGACTGCAGAAGACATGGGATACCAAGCTCTAAATGGACCTTTGGGAAGAGAAGCTGTGGCTTATGTGGAATTTCCATGGGCCTCCTGATGGAAGAAAGCTTATCTGTTTAGTATTTGTGCATTTTACTAAAAATGGCAGCTTTAAAAAAAAAAAAAAAAGTTGTGTATCTGCTATTGTGATGCCAATGCCCGTGTTTTAAGTGGAAAAAAAAAATGACCTCTTTGCTTTGTGCTGTGTACACAAGATTGCTGGAAAAAAAGTAAAGGAATACCCTTTTTATGGCTCACACAGCTTGAAAGTAGCTGTCACTCAAACATGCGCTCACAGTTGAGCTGATTTTGTTTCATTCTAAATAAATTGTTTCTTTTGAGGAAAAATGGTTTTTCTGCCTGGGAGTTGAATTGACGACAAACGTTTGGCCCCGGTGTCGGCAGCGGAGGGGTCCCTGCTGCTGCTGCCCCGTGTCTGAGCTGATAGTTGTGGGGCTTTGAGCAAGAACAGGGGAGAGAAACCGACACCTTTTCGCGTTGACCGACCTGTTGTGCCAAAGCGGAGGAATTCTAGTTCACTGCCTTGCTGTGACCCCCCCTGGTTTGTGGTGAAAAAGGGGGTCACACTCGCTGCCTCACTCCTCACCGGGACAGGGAAACGGTCCTGCTGCTGGCACACAAGGAGCAGGGAAGCACCACCCTGCATCTCACAACTGTGGCCGAGTCTCGGGGCTTCGCTGGTTGGAAGAGCCGGAGTTCCTGAATTTTTAAGTTTCTTGATTTGCTTTGTTCGCCCAACACGTTTTGCCTTTAGTTTTGATTCTTGGTTGTTGGTTTTGTTGGTTTTTTTTTTAATTTGGAAGAAAAAAAAAAAAAGGTTCGAGATTGCTTTGAATGTTGCACGTTAAAAAAAAACCACCTTTGCACCAAAATTGCCAAAAGAAAAGAGAAATGAGTCCTTAAGAGTGTTTAAGTGCTGTTAATAAAACGAGGCGCTCCTCTGTCTCCAGGGGCTTTTCAGCAGTTGTGGGTTTAGTGCTGAATGGATGAAGAGTTCCTGAGAGCTGGAGGCGGTAATTTAAACCTTTGAGTTGGTGTCTCAGTGCCTTATTTTGACCGGTTTTGAAGCCAGCACGCCTCGGATGTGCATGTACACCCTGCTCACGCCCCAGGGTCCCCTTGCAGCCGCCTCCTGGGGTCAGCAAAAATCGGAGGCGTCCCGAAAATCCCGTGCCGCGTTCTCCTGTGCCGGGGGCTCCTGGGCCGTGGAAGCTGTTCCCGAGCAGGAGCACAACTCCGTGTTTGCTGCAGGAGACTTCAGGGCGTGTTGGAGGACCGTCATCAAGAGGAAGCTGCCCCTGTTGCATCGTTGGCTTCAGAACCTCTCGTGGTGTTGCTTGGGTTCAATTAATGTGACGTGCGATGAAGACGCTTCAAGTGGCACTTTGCCCTGATTGCCTTGACATACTTTAACTTCCGTGGATAACGAACCTAGTGCTGTCATAGTGCAGGATCTTTGCTAGGATGCAGTGCCTTCCAACCTACGGATGCTCTGCAAGGTGCCTGTTCCCGGGGCAAAGCGCTGTGTAAATCCCTAAAACAGGTAAGGGGGTGGAAGAGGTTGGACTGAATTGTAATGTGAAAGAAGATTGTTGTTCTTTTTTAATCTTGATTCTCCAGTTGACTAACTCTTACTAACGTGTTTTATTCCATCGACGTGCTGCTCCACCTGCCTTGGGAATGGCAGCAATGGATCCAGTTCTTGGATGTGCGTCTGTGTTTGTTTGGGGTGTCCCGTTAACAAACAGGGCCATGGAGACCAGACTAAGGGTCCTCAGCTTGGCAAGCTGGAGCTGTTATTTTGAATTCATGAACTGCTTGAATTAACGCTGCTTTAACCCAGAATAGTGTTTGTGATCTGTATGTGTTGATAAGGAAAAGCCAAGCCAGTGATTTGGCAAATGATCTGTTTATGGGATGCTGGTGGTGTAATAATGTAAATTAAGCTGTTTGTTGTAAATGGGAGCAATTGTAGCTGTGTCTGGTAATGAGGGGAAGGAATTGAGGAGGGAGATGCTGTTTCTTCTAGAAGTTGGTGTTTGTAGTTAAAATTTATATTTTTTGCAATGTGTTCCATGTGCTGTTAAGATCCAACCTCTGAGTCTCATTTGAAGTGTTGTACAGAAGGTTTGGGGTTGGTGGCAATAATGGCAGCTGTGTTTCAGCCTCTTTACCTAGGCTGGGGGAAGATGATCACATGAGTGATCTGTCAGTGTAACCCAAAAAAAGGGGATGTTTTTGGCACCTGCTCCAATATCCAGGTGTGTGTGTCGAGTCTTGGGCACTCTCCCACTTTTTGGTTAAGCTTTGACTTGTAGGTGGCTGTTCCAGAAGGTTTCTGCCTCTCTGCCTCAGATTTCACTGTGTATTTAACTGGGAGATTGTTCCCTGTCTCCTTTACATTATGTATTTATTCCAGGGACTCGGAGTTATCGTGGGATGTGGTGTGGGATGATTCTGCTGTGGACGCTTTGTGCCAGCAACTTGTTTTTCGGGTGCTGGGTCTGCCTTTTGAGAGGGTTAGAGGGATGTTCCAGAGACCAGGCTGGTGTTAAAACCAGTCTCTTGGAAGGGTTAATATGCACCATATTAATTTGGCTAATGAGACTTCTGGGGAAGGTGGATTTCTAACGAGCACCATTTAATTAACTGCGCTGCAGCAGAAAGCAGCGCAAGCGGATTAGTCGGGAGCCAGTTATTGGAATTCACACTTTTTTTAGGACTGTGCTTTTACCAGCTGCAGCTGAATTAATAAGTCTCAAACATCAGATGGCCCAGATTCTGCTCTTGGCCAGTAACAAGCTTATGCTGGCCTCGTCCTGCTGATTTACTACAAGATGGCAAATGCTCCTGGAGGATTCACTCCCGCCACGTGTCACGGGGGTTGGGACAAGACCAGAAAGGTTTTGGTTGAAACCAAGGGGTCTGCAGAAAGAGCAGGGAGAGGAGTAGAAAGGCTCTTGAGGTGATGGATTTGTGACTCCCATTGGGTCTCCTGCAGTTATTGGCTCAGAGCTGCGTGCTGAGTGTAATTAGACCTGGCGTGGGATCTGGGTGAGGTGTAAACTCCTAAGGCAGAGTAAGTTTTGAGGGACTGGATCAGCTCCGCACGGAGTGATGGGTTTAAGAAGAGCCTCCTATTTGTCTGTGTGCTGATGGAGTTGAGGTGCCTCTAGTAGGAGCAGAGAACATGAACGCAGTGGCCCAAAGGTCTCCTCTTTGTCAATCCGTTGTATCCCAGCCGGGAATGTACGGATTAGCCATGGTTGGAACACAGAGGTGTAGATGCTGGAAACATGCTGCTGTTGCTGCAGGTTAATGAGTTGCCACCTCCCAGCCCTGCTCCTCTTCCCAAGCCCTGTGGGTTGAGCTGCTGTGCTGTCCCGGGTGGGGATGGGATGGGATGTGTGTGCCCGTGGCCGGCTCAGAGCAGCGGATGAGCCGGAGATTAATTGTGGGTCACGGCGGTTTCATCTCCTTATCTCCCTGCCTTGACCTTCACACCCAGTTCTGCAATTGGATCTGGAGATTTTCAGTTCCCTTCGGTATTTCCTGTCCCCAGATCCGGTGATAGGGCAGCCTGACTTTTAGCAATGCTCACAATTCAACCCACCCCCAAACTGGCAGATTTCCCTGGCATTTCTCAGTGATCCTTCAGACTGTATCTGCTTTCACCTCCACGTTCTGCATTCCCAGCCTGTAAAATTAGACATTTGAGGGGTGTCTGAGGACACACGTGGGGTGCAGGAGGGTTTGAGTGAAGGGAAGCCAGTGGGGTCTCACAGGGTGGCTGTTAAGCTCTGGTTGCCCATGGAGAGGACCCTGGTGCTCTCTGGACCATGGTGGGGTTTGCAGCCCCCTTGGCCAGGGGGTTGCTTTGGCTGTTGCTGGGCCAGCCTGGGGTGCTCCAGCTCTGACCTGGGCTGGGCAGAGGTTTGGGGCAGGATGAGGCCTTGAACCACCCGCTGAGCTGAGGCTTGTGGGGAGGACGTGGTGAGAAAGGGGATGTTGGTGTTTCTCGTGCTGCTCCTCTTGGGTGGATGGACACAAGGCTGTGTCCATCAGGAACTGCAGTGACAGGACAAGGGGGAATGGGTTCAAGCTGAAAAAGGGGAAATTTATCTTAGAGATATGGAAGACTGTGGTTGCCCCATCCTAGGGAGTGTCCAAGACCGGGTTGGACAGGGCTTGGAGCACCCTAGGCCAGTGAAAGCTGTCCCTGCCCATGGCAGGGGGTAGAATTGGATTAATTTTAAGGTCCCTTCCCACCCAAACCATTCCAGGATTCTAAGACCTACTTTTTCCCAGCTCAGCTTTCTCCTGTGGCACAGATTCATTCCTGGCTCTCAGATATCTTAAGTGCCTTTGCTCTTCCTCCAGGCACTCAGAGCTGCATCCCAGCAGCAGTTGGAATCTGGGAGAGCCCAATCCCAGATATCCCATCCCTGTGACCGCCCTTGTCTCAGCCAGGGTGGCTGTGACTCCCTTTCCTTGCCTGACCAAAGGCTGGAGCTCAGTTTATTGATGTTTTATTCATCACTGGGGTGTTGTAAAGACACTCTTTGCCTCTTCCATTCCAGGGTACAATCCCTGCTCCATTGGGCCCACGTGAGGAATATCTGTAGGGGAAAGTTTTGCAAAGCTTGGTGGTGGCTTTGGAGGCAAAGTCTGCTTTGGCAGTGGGACTTTGACCCATGAATTACTTCTGGAATTGTCTGTGGCCCTGAGCAAGAGCTCCCATCTCCTTGTCGTTACTGCAGGCTGGGAAGTTTTTCCATGAGGATCTCTCAGCTAAAGCTGAAACTTCTGATTTTCCAAACACCTGGTTTGATTTTTGTTTGTTACAGTTGCTGCTAAATTCCCATGGACTTCACTGAAAACCATTGTGGTACCTTTAAAGCTTTTTATTGTTATTTTCTAAACACCTCCCACCTCCTGGGGAGGCTTTTATCTCCCTGGAAGTGAAACTTTTTAATCCAGGCTCTGCTGAATTTCAGCCTGATGACGTTCTGTGTTGTAAACACGGCTGCAGGGCTGGAACCAGCTCCCAGAAAAGCCAAATGTTCCTGTTGTCAGTGGGTTTGAGGGCGAGTAAACAGCAGAAACCACACATGGTCTCTGCCAAAGCGGGTGAAGGAAGAGCAGCCGTGTTTCCTGTTACTGGAAGGCCCTGTTGTCGTGTCCTCACCCAGCTATTTGAAAGTGCTTTGCACTTTTGTCGTGTGGCTTAAGGGAAAAGCAGAAAGCTCAGGAGTGTTGGGAGCTGGAGCATCTCTGGGGTGTGTCGTGGCCATCACCCCAAACCCAGACCGGGCACAGCTGTGAAAAAGCCTCTTGTTCTCCTTTAAAATCAGAATTATGTAGATTTTGTCCCCCTGAGTGTCCTGGAACCTGGTGTTTCTCACAGTGGGTTTGTGTTTAGAGTGACCGAGGTGCCAAGAAAGGGTCAATGTGAGATCCCAGGTCATGGGTTAAACCCAGAAATTCCTGCCCCTCACCCTGGTCCCAGCCCCCTGAGTGTCTCTGTGATTCCCAGCCAGTTTTCCAAGCAAACCCATTCCCGTGCACGTGCGAAAAACAGCTGCAACAATTCCAGCCCAGCCCTTGGAAGGGATTTTATTGCACGATAAAGGTTGTTCCTTATTATGCAATAAACATCAGGATCAACTTCCTCTGGATCCAGTGCCTGGGTTTATCTGATGTCAGCATCTGAGGAGCGCTGGGAAAGTCACAGCTTTGGTTATTAGAGATTATTTTTTTATCAAGGGCAGAGCCTGACCATGGAGACGTTTACTTTGTGAACTTTGGAAGGGCTAAATCCACGTTTTAAAAGCTCTTCCCTGACTTTCCATGACCCAGAGCAGGTTTCCAGGAACACAGAAGGAGGAAGGGGCACCTGCAGCTGATAACCAGGACCCTCAGTGATGTTCAATGACTTCAATTAATATAAAATATTAATATAAAATTATTCAAGTGTGAGTCAGGGACGCAGCTTCCTTCTGTGATCTCTGGTTGCACCGACTTCCAGAGCTGGGATAGGCCCGAGCTGAGTCTTAGCAGCTTTTAATCCTGGCATGTGTAAAACCACTTGAAGGGAGTTTAGGACCCAGCAGGTGCCCACCCCATAAATCAGTCCTGCCAAAGCCTGGCACAGGCTGGGATCAGATCCAGAGGGTGCCCAGGCTCCTCCTCCAGGATTACACCTGGGAATCACTGACTAACAATGGAAAAGCATTTCCTCCTCCTGAAACCTCCAGGAAGGTTGGGAGCTGTTTGGATGGCACAAACCCAGGATTAACTACTCCTTGACTGCAGCAGTGTGTGCTGCAGTGTCTTGTTGGAGAAGCCAATTCCGTGTTTTTTCCTTGCTTTCTTAATCCTGTGGTGTTAAAATTAATCAGGATTCAGGGAACCAGTCCCCTGTCTGTTGGCACTGAGAGAACTAATTATCTAAATGAAGTTTTGTTGTTTTTTTTTTCCAAAGGAACTCGGGTATTGTGCCAGGTTTTTGTTGGAATACAGTGAAAATTGGGGGCTGGCTGTTCCCTTGGGCTCCTGGGAAAACCCTTTGGTTACTCAAGCTCTGGGACCCTGGAGGTCACAGGATCTTTTGGAGGCATCTTTAGTGTTTTGTTTCTTTGCACCGTGAATTTGAGAAGATTTTTAAACCAATGAATCTTGGTTAAAATGCTTCCAAATGGGATTTCCCATCAGGATCCAGCCATGATGTATTTACCCCATGGGCAGAAGATGAGTTTGGGGCAGGAAAATGTTCCACCAAGGGACTCCAGACTCGAGTGCTTTTACAGGGTTTTTGATTTATTCCAAGTTAAATTATTTTCCTGGAAAGATCCAGGAGGTTCTTGGTGATTTCTTTGCAATACAAAGTGTGGAGATGCTGCTTGTGAGGTCCTGGAAGCAGGAGGGAATCCAGTCCTCTGCTCCTGGTCCAGCACCTTCCCAGGACCAGGAGGGATGGCTGGGAGGGCACCACATTTAAACAGCATTTTATTTGTGCTGAAGATCATTTTTAGCTATTGCTGCTCATTTTTTCTACCCCGTGTTCTGCAGTTGAGAAAGGGAAGAGTTTCCCTTGAGTAAGGGAAGGATTTTCAGGAATAATTTCTTTGTGGAGCGGGTTGTTAAGCACTGGAATGAGCTTCCCAGGTTGGTGGTGGAACCACAGCCCTGGAGGTGTTGGAGGAACACCCTGCAGGTGTTTAAGGATGTGGCCCTCAGTGCTCTGGTGTGATTGAGAAGGGGGTGTTTGGTCACAGGTTGGACTCGATGACCTTGGAGGTCTTTTCCAACCTTAATGATCCTGTGATTCTGTGAA